TGCTCCCTGACTGCGGACAACTTCGGCACAGTTTCCACCACTCGCTCTTCATTTATAAAGCTAACAGCTTTTACAACCAGAAATGACACAAGCCATGATAACTCACTCTCAGTGTTGTTTTTCTTTCTCTACAGTATATTACCAACTGCAAGCTTGTGGAGTTGAGGTAATTGTATCTTAGATAAACACTGTGTTTCCTCTCGGAGAGCTGCTGCTGCTGTGCTCCTGGTCACCTCACTCAGTTGTTCGGGGGTTAACAGCATTAGAGATCTTTCTACTATATCCTGTCTGTCAGTCTGGGGATGTTAGCAAGAGTTAACAAGCCTGTATGTTATTGTTAGCAAAAAGATTCTTAAGTGACTAAATCCACGATCAAAAGCACAATGTGGCTTTATACATGTTCATTTTCCTGCAATGTGGGATTAGAGAATTGATACCACCAACATCCGTATGCTAAGTAAGGGGCTTGAGTCAGCAGGTGATTAGCTTAGCTTATCTTAAAGACTGGAAGCAGGGGGAAATCAGCATACCAACACCTCTAAAGCCCACCAATGAACACTACAGCATAATCCAAACTGAAATGTTAAATACACAATTTGTGGTTTAAAAGGATGTTGAAGCCCATGTGTGGTGACAAAGTCTTCATTAACAGTCCATTCATCAGTTCTTTTCGCAAAAATAACTTTAGCACACAATTAGCCAAAACACCTCAGACTGTAATCTTTACATGTGAGTTTAAACTTACAAAAACAATACTAACAGAGCTTTATCGGGGTCTGAATAGCTCTTTATTTTACCTGCAAACACTTTAAAAGGGGTACATTTTTTTCTATAACTTGTACTTGTCTTGAGACTTAACGCCCGCCTCAGCTGCACCTCGTTAATATTGAAAAAAAAATTTGGTTGAGTTGGAATTTCAGTATTGGGACCCCCATTGACGGGCTTCAAAATTGGGCTTCGGAAACCAACAGGTGACATCACTGAGACTGTGTTTACAACAGTAAATGGTCATGTCCCACTCCAGCTGCCGCACTGAATCTGCAAGAAGCACAGATACTCTATGTGACACTGTGTTAGCACCAAGCTGTACATCAGCAATAGCGGATGTTATTTCAGGCTTACTTTTATGGATCCTGGATGATGCCCTTCTTCACCATGATACCACCACTGCTGTTGAATGGCTTCTTGTTCTTTTATGGGGTGTGCACCTGTAGTCCCATGCAAAGTGTCTGTGGACTTCAGAGTGACGCACACACTTGTCCTTTATTTTCATTAAAGAAACTTCTTCCCCACTCCTTAATTGTGAAAATAGCATGTTTTCTACTTTTTCTTGGCATGGCCACCTTTGTTGTCCATCTGCTAAACATCAGCTAAACAGGCTTGCGATATGGCACATCCTCCTCAGTAAGCTCAGCGTACAGTTGAACTTAACCGACATGTCAATTTAGGTTGCTGCTACATTCGTTGTGATCGGTTCAGGAATTCACAAACTTGACAGATATTTTTTTTTATCAACGTAACAGATGTGTCACCTTTTTATTGACAGCTGATAAGGCCTATCTTATTATTTTATCCTTGAGGGGTGGGACATCTCTGTGTTTCACTGAATTAGAGGAGGGAGGGTTTTTCAAGCACTTGGGTCACACAGTCCGTGAACCTCTTGGAGACCTATACTGAAAGCCCTGTTGAATGCGAGCGATGTGTTGGAGACCCCAGGGCTAGGCTATGCTAGCCACGTCTTAGCTCTAACTTCATGCTTAATTTCATGCAATCTTTGGTAGTTTATATCCAATAATGTTAAAGCTGTACAAGAGCGCAGAAGTCTAACATTTTAAACTATGGTTTAACACTGAATGGTTTGTTAGAATTGCTTTTCAAAATAAACAGAAAAACTAGGCATATTTTTACTGACATAATAATGCAATCCTTTCATAGCCTATTTACTGCAATATGACTGACATCGTGGGGCGCTGGTGGCGCAGTGGTTAGTGCACGTGCCCCATTTTGGAGGCTGCAGTCCTCAAAAAAAGCAGGCGGCCCAGGTTCAAATCCGGCCTGTGGCTCCCTTCCCACATGTCATTCCCTACTCTCTCTCCCAGATTTCCAGCAAAATCTATCCACTGTCCTATCGCTACATTAAAGGCACAAAAATCCCAAAACTAAATCTGACATCGTGATGTCCAAGACAGCTGCATAAAGCTAAAGACTATCTGGAGATTTCTGCAGTGACTGATTCATGGTATTTTGAGACTAAAAATAACTTGTAAATGTCTGTTAACATGCTAACTTCCTACAGAATGAAACAATGCAAAACATGAGCAGACGGGGCATGAAAACAGGATGACACCTGACAACCTTGAAACAAAAAAAATGTCTGCGACAAAAATAGAGCATGTCCATGTAAACAGGATTCCACATGTTTTAAATGAAAGAACTTGTTGTGATATAATACTAATCACCTTAGGCAACAGTAAGCAGCTTGTTACTCATGGCTGGAGCACTTCCTATTTACCACTTATTTAAATATAGATTTCTTTACAATAATACAGTCAGTGCAGGAGGAAGAGATTCATTGCATGTCCCGTCCAATTAATGACAGGAAGTAAGGGTCTGGTGTTAAATATTGTCGTATCCTGTTTGGGTCGGCTGTCCAGGTGCTCCGTCGTGACCAAAATCATATTACATCATCTCCCTCCTGTTCAAGTTGTCTGCTCAATGACTTTTCATTACTTTAGCTTGTAGATGTTTTTATGTAGTGGCAATCCACTAATTTAAATCATAGCACACAGACAATAAATGCCCTTCTCACTTCTAAGGCTCTAACTTTTCTGAGATCCTCACAGCGAGGGGCTCTCTACCTTCCCCTTGAAGGCCCCACTGTGGAGGAACCTCTAGCTGCCCCAACAATGATGAATGGACATCATTAATGTTGTTCATTTGTTTACCTTTTCCTCAGCAATCTGGGAAAATGAGGGGTCAACAGCAAAAAAGGGAAAATGTGCGTACTTTTGCACTCCAGTTCCTGAGAGAAACGGTTTGGTCTTCCCAACATCAAGAGACACTGCAGACTTCAAGGGCTCATTTAAAAAAACCTCATCGGAAAAAAAAACAAATTAGAGAGGAGCTTTAGATCTACAAATATCTTTTTGTATTTGTAGATCTGTTTAATCTTCTAAACTTGAAATAAGTCTTCTTCTCATCAATGATGAAAAAGATAAACATTTTCTGGAGAGGCAGGATAAAGACCCCTGACACTGGTGCTTTTAGGACTTGATTCATTCATTTAAATAGATAGAGCTTTATTTGAATAAAGCTTGGAAATGATACGTCCTTGTCTATGTTTCATGGCTACTGATATTCAACTTTGAGGATTTTGCAAAGTCACTGAGCAGCTGCAAGGTTTTTCACAATATGACAACAGCCATCCATCTCCCTCTAGAATATAACTATCAGTCAAGCCAGTTTGCTTGTCTTGTCACTTGTCAGCATGGATTTACGGTGAAAACATTTGGTGTGCTCTCATTTGGCTCTAACAGCCAATGCAGGTTAAAAAAACACAGATAGATCACTGAGCAGACGGTTAGATGATGGGCAGGGATCAGCTCTGTCTGTTCTGCAGAGCAAAACTTGTAGCAATTAGCTGCGGTTAGAAGCCCATTTAGAAACAATGCAACTTCACACACACTGACACAGATCTGTCGTGATGACTTTCTATGTTGTGTTTTACTGCTGCTTATTTCTGGGTTGATGGGTCGTTTGCTGTGCATAGTTTGTTATTGTAGTTTTTTTGGGACGTTCAAGTATACATTCCTGTTTGCAACATTTTAAATTAGTTGCAATTTTTCTGTTGTTGCATTTTTTTTTAAATGTCTATGTGCTCTGAAATGTCCTCCTATTTGTATTTAAAGCCTGTTTCTCCAATCTTAATTCTTTTGCGCCATTGCTACCGGTTCGCCCTTGTCAACACCATGTTTAGCTGTCTCTTTTTTTTAAATAGACTTGAACAATGCTTCAGCTATATCAGTACACTGCAGCTTTGCTTTGACTTTAGGTTTATATATTCTCTTAGAAGCTGAGAACAAACTCTGAACAATCTTTGGTCCATAGATTTGCTGAACTTCTGCAATAAGACGGCTAACTAGACAGTGAATAAAGAGTAGATTGATACTGTTGTAAAATAAAACTTTCACCACCCAGACAATGATAGCACAGCTGGAGAGACAGAGCTAAAACAGAGGTAATTGCAGAGTCATGTTCCTTCGAAGAACACACAGTTTGCTTTGCTTCCATTCTGTCGTCTCCCTGAATTTCCAACAGCATCCATCATTGCCATGCAGAGATACAATTTAGGCCGAAACTACTGTGATGCTGCCCAGCATAATTAAAGGAAATGTCTCTCAAAACCCTGATTGGTTGCACTTTCTGATGCTCTATCCAGCACGATAGGGATGGGGGGATGTCTCACTCTGCCTGAAGTGTTTGAGATGTTTAGAAACTGCACACTCCTGAGTGTGGTCTGTACAATAGAAGGAGGCAAGAGGAGCTATTCAGCAGTGTTAAAGGAATGTGTGGAAGCCCACAAGGAATCCTTTCGTTCCAGGCTTTCTCCAAACACAGAAGTCCCACACTGAAGATAATCTCTACGTGTCAACAGTAATGGAATCTCCCATTTCTGTCTCTTCAAACTTGACTCAAACCGCAGAGGAAAATCACTGTGCATCCCAGAGCCAAGCAATGAGTTTACCATGCATGTCACCAAAGAAAAAGGATCTCTAAATGTTTACCTTGCCTTGATAGCCCTCACACAAACACTCAGTACTGAGTTTCTCAGTATACTCTACATCTACTGCGTAAATCACCTGTGCCGTGCTGTATAGTCTAGAACTCAGAAATGCAGCATCAGTAGCATGAGTCACTATCTCTGTGATAACCATTGAAAGCATCTCATAAATTACTGCTATATGTCACAGCTTAATGTGGCCATAAAAAAAAAAAAGAAGAGCGGCTGAGATTTGTGCAGGCAGATGAGGCAGAGAGAGGAGGACACAGAACAGGGGGAGGAGATTTAAATGGTCAGCTTGTGAAAAGGTAGTGTGGGGCAATTAGAGGCAAGTGTGTTTTCCTGCAGATCGGAGCTCAGAGAAGCAGGACTGAAGAGTTGGAGCGAATTTGGGATTTTGAAAAAGGCTATTTTTGTTTTACTTTTTGCAGGAAAAATGCTCTGTCAAAGCGGCAGACTTAAAATCAACTTGTGTGCTTCAATTCTTTCTTCACTATGAGACTTTAAAACAATTTCTTCTTGACTGTATTTTTTTTTTTTAATCACCCAAGCTTCATCCAGCACGCCTCTGGGGCCTTATTCATTACAAAGCTCACTCCTCATCATCAGGTTACACGCGCAGAAGGAGCTACGTGACTGCACTCACTCTCAGCCGGCAGCGGATGACTCGGAAATTCCCGGTCAGCATCTCTTTTCTCTTGTCTGCGTTGTTTGGGACTTTGGTTGAATTGTTTTGTTGTACTCATCGGGAGCCATCAGCACCGTCTTTCACTCGCAGACATCACGAAATGAAAGTCGGTTTTGTCATCCAGACTGCGGTGACGCTTTATCTGCTGCTCTCACCTGCACAGGTAGGACGTTATGTAAAGTGAAACTTTATACTAAGGAAATGTAGAATGGGACTTCTGTCAATTGAATGTAAAAGTACCGCAATGATAAAGATTTTCAATACTCTAACTCGATTATAGGTCTAGGCTACTTTCTTTTGAACAGTTGTGAAATAATGGCAATTCTTTTCGAGTTTTAAATAGTATGTGACAATGGTCTTTATCGAGTTAGTGAAAGTATGTTGATGACGAGTGATAATTATTGTCCCTTGACACCTTCATACGTTTTGAATGAGCTCTATCCTGCTCCACTCATTCATAAGATGGAACGTGACAAACTGCATCCCTCCACATGGAACACTGGATGCAAAGTGACTCACTGTTATATTTGGCAAAGCATACTAAGCTTGTAATTACAGACGCATTATACTTTACAAGCCAGTTTCACTGACATGGATTATTCCCTCTTCTGAATGATGGTATCTTTATTCCTTTCCTTGTTTATAGTGTACATTTCTATTAAGGAAACACTGTGAATTCACATGCTGGTGGGAAATTCCTCCAATGAGGAAACTTCATAACACATTTGAATGGTTAGTTTCAAAAGTTTGCAAGCTGCTTGGTCTGACAGAAAGTCATGGCAGTGCATCAAATAAAACTGGCAGGAGAGTTTACAATCTTTCACTCTTTCCTTTTAGAGTGCACATGGCTTTGTTTTATCTCAGTAGATCTGCATGTCAAATGGGGGTAAAAAGATGAAACCATGTCATTCCAAAAACATTTTAATGAATTGGATTTCAGGCCAGTCGTATCATTGTCAGGCTGGCAGTGAATTAACAAAAAGCTGTTCTGTTCTCTGTTGGCTGGCATTATTTTGTAGTCCGTTAATGAAATAGTGCCAGAACAGTACAAAGCTGAGAACTTATTCAGAGACCTGTGACACACTTGTTAGTGGATGTGCCATTGGACAGCCGGGCATATGCCAAGTAACTCTCATTCTCTTGCATCCATTCAGTCTCTGATTTCGTCCTGAGGTGGCTGAAGGCTGGCAGCGATCTCTGATGGTTCTCATGTTTAATGCAAAACCAGGCCATTCACTGCAACTGTCACCCTTCATACACTGTTGCTGTTAAAGTTTCACTGCAGAAGTTCCTTTTCAGCCAGACTGAAGTCCACATATAGAATCTTGGGCTCTGGATATTGGGGAAAAAAAGCTCCAAGTCAATCCAGATTCTCTATTCGGAGACTTTGCAGCTGTTTCAGAGTTAAGAGTGGGTGGGAGACGCATGGGATCCCCACATCTTTATTAATCCTGATAATAAGCTCAAGGCTTGCTCGTAAAAAGTATGAGTGACAAAATCCAGGGTCCTTAAGGTGCAGCAGGTTAAAAGACATGGGGAAACCTGAACTGTCAGAAAACTGACAGTGAGATTCATCAACCTTACTGGGTCTCTCTCTTACTTTTAATTTCCCTTAATGCTTTATGTTGACGTTTTTTAAAGGAAGTGGTCCATGCCTTAGTGCAAAGTTTTTATTAAATCAAGAGCCACTCATGCCATTGCAGCCCCTTTTCGAGCCTTATTGACAAATTGAGACTCTTCTAGGTGTGTGTGCTGCCAGTTCCCTCAGTAAACCGTCAGACTGGCGTGACAGAGTGGAAAAATCAAACAGTGGCCACGTGGTTGGAAATGCTCCTCATAAAAGTTTGCCTTTGCAAGTCATTACCCACGTGCCATTAATTCATAATGATGATGTTCACCACTGTTGCAGCTGCAGTTGTCATCAGAGGCCTTGTGACTCATGAAATCATTCACGTTCATGAAATGTGAAGTATGGCCAAGAGAGGTTGGGGTTGGTTCCATCTTTTTCTGCTCAGGGATTCACTGCATGTACAAGGCAGATGATCTTTGTGGTCCTGCATGCTGTCAAGCATTATTTTTTGCATTATGTTTAGATTGTTTAATCTGTTGGTATACTTTGAAATCAGAATAATGTTACTGTACGTGAAAAGGTCAAGTACAAGCATCAATATGTTGAAATTTGAGAAGATGGCCGCAGATGAGTATGAAATGATGCATCTAGGCCTGACCATTTATAAACTATGAATGTCAAAGGGCATCCAAGCTTTTGTATAGAAACGGTAATTTTTGTAATACAGCAGTAAATGGCTTCAAAATGTCTTTGAGAATTATTAATGTCCCATTCGTATGATCTAAATCATGTGGGCTTTTATTTCCTTCTGTTGTTATTAATTCTTTCACCAGTTCTGTTTCCATGCACACATGACTCATGCAAGTGGGTGGAAGCACCTGGTATTCCCTTTGGAACAATAGTAAACCCTCGTTAACCCTGTCACTAATACTGTCTAATGAAGAATATGATATAACCGCTGTACACACTTTATTTTGCCCACATTCCTCAACAGTCTGCTTGTCTATTCAGTTCTCTATCTCAAACACTGCGCATGTAGGAGTGTGTTTAAACGGCATCAGTGCCAAAATGTGCAGTACTTGTTGCCTCCTGCCCATCGTGATTGTACGTATAAAAAATGCACTTGAAATCTTGCACCAACGAATCCAGACCTTAACTGAATTTATTCAGTGATTCCAGGAAGAAACACCAGAGTCCAGACTCCTCAACTCCAAAAATGTTCAGTGAAGGATACAAATGAAAAGCCTCTTTGGCATGAGGTTATGAAATTATCTGAGTTTGAAAAGAATAGAACATGTTCCTTGGATAAATACATAGATGTGGCCAAACTCATTTGTTTCCAATGTCTCACAGTTAAGATTTTGCACTTGTTTCTGTGTGTGTATGTGTGAGAACATGACATTTAACAGGTGTTTCCTTAACATCATCACCAGCAGCAAAACAATACTTGAATGTGGCCATCTGTTTCACTCACGTGTCTGTGTTTTGTGATCAAAATTCTTGTTTATTTAACAAAGTCTAGATGGCAAGAGATCACATTTCCAGTACTTACTATAGAGTTTCATAGGCAGATGGTTTCTTAAAATACAAAACATCAACAGCAAAGATCAAGTAAAGCTTTCTCAGAATTTAAGAGACACCGTTTTTGACAAGATGCATCTCATTCATTAGCGATCAAACAGTCAAAGTGTCTCTCTGTGTGTTTCTTGTTCAGCTGTCTGAATGCTAGGCCATACAGTTGGACTGACCTGCTGAGTGATAAGGCTGTTGTTGCGTTGTTGTGGTATTTCTCTCTAGTTGTAATGTCCTGACCCAAGGGAAGGTTGCAATCGCAATCAGGAAATATGGATTTCTCCTTCCTCTTGCGGAGGAGGAGGAGCAGTGGCGCTCGGGGCAGCCGTCTACTCAGCAAGCTTTAATCTCCCATCTGGATGTAATTTACTGTGGTTTACACAGGGAGAACAGCGTTTACTGTAATAGAGACCACAATTACCACCGGTCAGCCTTATCTCAAGACCTATGTCGTGTGTGTCTGTGTGTGTGTGTGTGTGTGTGTGTTGGTGTGTGTGTGTGTGTGTGTGTGTGTGTGTGTGTGTGTGTGTGTGTGTGTGTGTGTGTGTGTGTTGTAGACAGAATGCATGGTTTATTGCCTACAGTGGTTGTGTGTGTGTTGGTGAGTCTTGAGGGGGACATTTGTGTATGCATTAACTGACTTACACTGAGGAAATGTCGTTTTGTCATTTATCTAAATCAACATCTTTACGGACCTTTACCTCTTCCTGGTCACTAGACAACTTTAAGTTTTCTCAATAAATCTTAGAAGTTTTTATTTTTTATTTTGTAAGGATTTATTTAGTCTTTTATGCCTTTATCTGAAAGACAGGACAGTGATAGAATCAGAAATCAGGGAGAGAGAGAGCCTGGGGAATATCATGTGGGAACTGAGCCACAGGTCGGATCCAAATCCAGGCCTTCCGCTCTGAGGACGACAGCCTCTGTTCATGGGGCGCGCATGCTAGCCAATATAGGCCACCAGCAACCAGAAGTTTTTTAGTCTACTAATCAACGAAACAACATTTCTTGAAATGTTTCCATGAAAGACACAATTTTTTAAAATAAAGACTCCTATCTTCAAGTGGAAATAAGTCTTAAAAGCATTCTTGGACAAATATGTTGACATTATTGAGGAGATACTTACTCATCCCTTGCTGTGGAGTAGATCATAAGATCAAAGTTGTGCTTGTTCTTCTGCATAAAAGAAGACAGTTAGCATAAATTAACATGCAACAGTAAACTGGCCAAGAAATGAAAAGCAGAGACTCCTGGAAGACACAGCAAGAAAATAAACCACAACCTGTGATTATTAACCATATTCACACAACAGAAACGTTACCCTGACATAAAGCTCAGGGCAGAATGTACTAAAGTTGTCATACTGCTTTACACGGGTTGCAAGCAATATAAATGCAGCAAATATGACACTTAAATCTGGAGGGGCAGTGAGCTTAATTTTTTTTTTTTTTAAATGAGAGAACCCATTAGCTACTGCCTGACAACAGCATTGAGCCAGTTGCTAAAGTGGCTAAATGGTACTTATTGACTTTTTACAAACCATTGTCTTTTAATCTCCTTATCAATCAGGAAATGGTAAAAAATAAAAAATAAAAAATAAAAAAATAAAAAATAAATACTAATAACTTAAGAATCAAAAGTGGCTGTTGTGTGAATATGGTGAATAAAACACTGTATAGGTGGATTTTTCGACTGAGTCCTAGGCTAGCTGTTTCCCCCTTGTTTCCAGACGTCATACTTAGCTAAACTAGCATAATGTGCTGACTCACGCTTCAGTGGTATCAAACTTTGTATCTAAGTCTCAGTAGGACAGTTTATGTGCATATTAGTCAAAATGTGTTGTTCCTACGTTGTGTTTTCTCAGAGTTTTAATCCCTTTTTAAGGTCTGTGACAGTTACTCGGTTGTTTATGTGTGCTACTTTGAGGCTTTGAGCCTGTGTGACACACAAACCAAAAGTGTGTCTGTCCTCTAATCTGTAGAGTAACTCTGGATTTCAAAGGCTCCATTCACCCAGATTACTCAACAGATTGTTGTGGCACATTTACCACACGCTCTGTTTAAGTCTGTTGGTGTTTTGGCAGTGCTTTGTGATCACAAGGCCTGACCTGACCACCCCCAGAGACCCAGCTGGATACTGTCAGAGTTGTAATAGCACTGCTGTCCTTGTAGGTCCACCCACCGTGTGTATACAAAACAGAGCCGTGCTTTCTTTTTGTAGTGGTGGAGAACAGATACAGTGACCTGCAGGCCCCCGTGAGAGGCCTGAGAATTAATGTTGTGGTCATGGTGTTGATGATGTGGAATCTGGCTCTCGATAAAGGATGGATGAAGAGGCTCAGCGAGACAGGGAGGTAGCTCTGTTTTCTCACTCGTCTAGCTGTCTCTGTGTTTGTATTCACTTGTTCTGCTTTAGCGCATTCTGTCCTGTGTGGTCCTGTGTTCACAGTAAAGCTTCAGGCAGGCCAAAACCATGACACAGTCCCCTCTGTGACCTATATTATCAGTGAGTTTGTGATGCAGATGTTTACCTGATCTGGATTATGGCTGGGATCTTTGCCAACTTTGCTTTTTTAACAACTGTTTAGCTACTTTCCCCCTCTACATACATCCCCCCTATCACCAAACTCTGTTCAAGAGTAAATGTAACTGACAGTGATCACCAAACAGCAAGTATGCAGCTCATTCATAGTCTATTTATTCACCCTTAAGAAGTAATTAATATTTCAATCAATTAACAAAGCACTTTTTACTTGTTTTTTTTGGGGGGGGGAGGGGCTTAAGCCTTTATTAGACAGGACAGCTGAAGAGAGACAGGAAATGTTGGGAGGAGAGAGTGGGGGATGAAATGCAGCAAAGGGCCGAGGTCGGATTCAAACCCACGGTTGATGCAACAAGGACTATAGCCTCAGCACTTGGTGCGCGTGACATAACTGCAATCTAGCACCCCAGGACGAAGCTATTTTGATTACCTTTAAACTATGAAATGTTTTCTCATTTTCCTTTAAGTCTTTTCACTTTCTGAAACAATCCTTTGACATAACATCTACAATCTATGCAAGCAATTTCACGCACTCTAAAGAAGCACATATTACCAAGTTTCATATGGAACAAAACGTTTTTATGGACTTTGATTACCTTCGTTATAGCGTGCGTCAATAACAATCGTTGAGGACTGCAATTGCAATTTAACCCCTAAATCCTTTGGAGAAAAAAAAATGTTTTCAATTTTTTTTCAATGGTGTACATGAGACTAAAGAAAACATGTCTCACTTGGATGCCAGAATGTCTTAACCGTCTCTGCATCATTTTGCTGTTCATTCAGCCAGGAGAAGTTCTGTCTATTTAGTCTCGACTGACAAAAAAATGGATCAGTATATTTCTATTCTTCATGTGTAAATCTAAGGTCTAAGTCACAGTGTTTCCTGGCTGCTGTCCACTGATCTTTTCGGCTATTCACCATAGTACGGCTGTTTAATTACCCGGGCCCCCCTTCCCAGCTTGAACCTCAGAGTTTAAAATCCTTTATGACCATTATTCTGGGTCCCCATCAAGTTTTGTTTTTGCTCTCTACACATGCTGCCCTTCCTCTGACAGACGGAGTTAAGCAAAGAGGTTAAAGATGACGCAGTTCAGCTGTGTGGGAGTGGAGAGTAATGAGGCCCGGAGCCTCTTTGGCCTGACAGCAGGAGCCCAGAGACACAACAGGTCCTTCGTTGTGACCCAAAGGACGGAGCAAACTCTCAGCGAGCTGCAGACAAACTTTCACCAGAGACTTCAGAAACAGAAGTGACTGGTTTTATAAGCAGTGATCCCTAAAGAACTGTTTTTCTTTCACTGCTGTAAATGTTTCAATCCAACCCCTCTTACTCAAACTAGCGGTCAAAGACAAGTCATACACTGCACTGCTAAGCTAAACGTCTGTGAGAACCAGATGTCAGGAGCTGAAAACATCTTGTCTGAGTGGGCTGGGGGAACTGCACCCTGATTATAAATCCACTATGTTGATTATTATTATAATAAAGCAGTAATAAGAGCTGTTTTATTTCCCTTTTAAGACCTTTTTTGTTTATTTGCCAATGAAGCCCCTGGTTTTTAAATCAACATTAGCAGCACTATAGTTTGTTTCAGATTGTAACAGGATTCTGCTAAATTCTGCAGTGTGGAGATATTCTGGCTTCTTTACAATGAGAAGAAGGTTGTTATGTCATTAGTTTGTATTGTGTTGGAGTGGTTTCAATGGCTTCATAGCAGTTTTTTTCTAAACCCAGATGTTGGACACAATGGCCAGCCCAGTCAGAGAAAAGAGAAGAGTTTATGTCATGTTAAGTCATGTCAAGTTTCTTTGTACAGCACTTGATCACAGTGAGTCTCAAAGGTCTTTACACCCACATAATAAAAACAACAAATGAAAAAGACACACAGCACTGAGGAGTAAAAGACTCCCCGAAAATGGTCGAAAAATAAAAACCTTGAGAGGATTACTTAGCAATGAGTCCTGCTTCTGGGATTAACTAGACAAGTTTATGCACATTGATGTAAAGTAACCTCCCAACATCCATTAATCACTCTAGGTGCATGAGGAGGAAGAGGGATAGAAAAACCTACGTGAGGATCTTCATGCAGCCTTTTTTCGTAATTTGGCACTCCTCCATGCTCAACCACAGGCGGTGCCAATGATTGCTTCCACACCATGTCGAAGCTTAACCCAAGGCTGAGGTCACAGAATCCTCCCCCGACACAGCTACACGATAGAGGGCAGCTCATATGGCAATTACTGTAACAGTGAGAAAGGATTTATTTTATCCGCTTGACATCACTTGAGAGAAGAAGAAAAGAAATCCGAGCCTCGAAATGAAGCGACTTTTTTTAACAATCAGAATCTGTATGTTTCACAAAACAGTCCAAATAAAGGGCCTCTCTGTAGAACAACTCTTCCATCTGAGGAACAGCTGTGCATGTTGGCCTGATGACCAACCAATTTTGAAGGAAAGGGAGATGTCTTAACGGATCCCCAGTCACAGGGAGGACTGATCCTGAATGTTTGACTGGAAGCTCTTTATGTCAAGTCTGTTGTAGAGTACATGGTGTTGCAGGGAAGACTGATCGGTCCCAAATACTCTGATCTCAGTGGCCTCTGACATTTTTGCACGACAGTGAATGTATCATTATCAAAAAATCAGGACATTCCTTTTTAATCACATTATTTGGTAGATAAGGCAGAGAGTAGCACTGTACTGAAAGACAGTAATTTTGGTTTATACCAGGAATGCGATGCATTTTAGAGACTGATACATTGTGTAAAACAACAGCAACCCTTAATGTCATCATTTTGGAAAGCCTGGTTTGCTATTATGTAACAATCTTCCGTTAAGTCTTACTATTAGCATCATAACTGTCATGAGGCGTGTGACACAGCACCTAACGACATTGATGAGCAGAGATTTGTCAAAGCAGGTTATATTTCGTCATTCTTGTTCTTCCTCTCGGGGACATCTTATCAAACCTACTTTTCCTTTCCTGTGAAGGAGTCAGCAAGAGGTTTTGTGTTTTCCCAGGCCAATGAGAAATGCACTATGTTTATCATGGGATGCTGGGAAAAAATCAAGACAGAGTGGTGAAAGGGGGGAGACCATGAATGGGAAAATAAATATAGAGATGAATCTTACACCACAGGAAGCAGGTTTTGAAGCTAAACAGTTGGACGAACAGAAGAACGTGATAGATAAATATGAGCGACTGGATCTGCTGCCTGTCAGAGATGCTTTTCTATCGCACTATAGCAAGAAGGTTTGATTAATGCTTGAATTTGCTGTAGTACCAGCTTTCACCACTGGGGAACAAAATACATTACTGACTGATATAAGTATTTTTTTGCAGGATGACGTTATCTTTATGTGGTAGATATTTTGAGAGGAGTGTATACATGTGATCCAGTGACTTATCTCTATCTCCTTTGATCTATTCACTGAATTTGTGTTTATTTGTTCATGTAAATTTCCTGAAAGACTTTTTTTCCTTTTTACAGAGTGTACCCTTGTCGAGCATAAACAGTACAACAGAAGGTAAGAATATAAGCTTTTAAAAAAATCTCAAACTCTTCTTCAAGTGTTGTTTATGATTCTTTATATTACAGCAAGATTGCTGACAAAAGTGACAGGAGAGGAAAAAGTATTCCTGTATTGAAATTCCTCTGTGATTTTACAAAGATGTCTGGACTTGTAGTAATCATTCAAACTTTTTTTTAATGATCTATTTTAATAAAAATATATACTATACGATATACTATAAACCAACTTATTAATGCTGCTAGAAGAGAAGTAAATAGCAGATGGAGCTTTTAGAGGATTAGAGAATATCTAACAGAAACGCTAGAGAACCAGGAGTCAGACAGTCAGCTGAAGGAGCTGGAGCTGGTCAGTGAACTGGCCCTCTTTGCTGTACAACATCATAGTTCATGGCCTCATCCCCCTGCTGTAGCTGCTTCCCCTCTGTCCCCTCCCAGCCTGTCTGCTCTTATAAACAGCTGTTGTGCTGTCAGGCTCCATTCAGTGACCTCGGGGGTCACAGCAGTCCCAGAGGTGCCCGCAGGGCAGCCCCGCTCCAGCTCCAGCAGAGCTCTGTTCGTGGCTATGTTTCCAATGTTTGTTTTCTCTTCCTTCTCTGTTTGTTCTGCCATAGTGGTCCCTGTTCCTCCTCCACAGACTGTGCAACTGGAACACTTTTACACATATACTCCCACAGGAAAGCGTACTGTACATTACACAAACAATTTTTTTTTATCCCGAAATGAAAACAGGATACTCAGTGGCGTATCGCAACTGGTTTTATGTTTCTGTGTGCATGATTTGTCATTGTTGGGATTATGAAAAATGACTGATACTGTTTACATTTGGCAATATTAACAGAGCAGTTTGCCTCTAGATGTACGAATATATTTTTCCCTTCTGTCATTTGTAATTGAGCTTCACATACACAAACTAAAATAAGTTGCAACTTAACTATAATTTGCTTTGTGAAAGTAGGCTAGAAATATACATGTGGACAGAAAATCAAATATTTATTCATCAGGCCGCTCAACCTTCAACCCACCCATAGTCTTCTTAAAGTAACCCTAAACTAACTTAGGCTCCCATTCTTTTCCGTAGTGTTGATGTTCCAGGAGGTGTGGGGTCGCAGCTTCTGCCGGACCATAGAGAAGCTGGTGGAGGTGGTGCAGGAGTACCCGTCAGAGGTGGAGCACATCTACAGCCCCTCCTGTGTGCCGCTGGTGAGGTGTGCGGGTTGCTGTGGAGATGAAAACCTAGAGTGCCATCCCACTCAAACAACAAATGTCACCATGCAGGTAGCCAAGCACATAGTGTGATGTAGTGAGTCTCATTGTGTGTGATTTATTACTGTGTGTACTGCCAGAGCTTCTATTGACAAAGATAACTTGTTTGATCACTCAGCTGTTGAAAATCAGGCCATCAGAGCCGGGCCAGGAATATGTAGAGATGACGTTTGTGGTGCATCGGACATGTGAATGTAGGTAAGAAAACAAAAAATACTTTATAAAATAACAAATTTATTCTGGCAGACATGTCTAAAACACAAGTTCAGAGATTTATCTGAGTAATATGCTAAAAAAAGGCCAGTAAGAAACAGATGCTGCCAAAATATATAAAAAAATGAAAACAACTGAACCACATTCATTGCCTGAACATGAACATCTGACAAATCCACCCCCCCCCCCACCGCCGTGACTTGTCTGTGGTATAAAACTGTAGCACTTCCTCACGTAGATGAAAAAAGTTGCTAGTAATTTGAATACAGCTATTACTCACAGTTTCTAAGGGACATGGTTGGCTTATGATTATTACACTCAATGTTCATTCTAATTTTCACACTTGTTCCTCAGAATCAAGAAGCCTACTATTGTTAAAGTTGAAAGGTGAGAACAGTATATTGCTAAAACGTCAATTTGAACATTTTTGAAAAGAATAATAAAATCCATGTCAGAGATGACTCCCAGATAGCATGAGTAATGTTCTGTTCTTCTTTCAGGAGAAGGCAAAGAGGAAGAGGAAGGAAGAGAAAGGAGAGGCAAAAAACAAAAGAATGTGACAGGTGACGGCAATTTCTAATGACCTTTTTACATTATTTATACATATTTATATTTTTAATTTGTTTAGCGTCTTGAGCCAGATGCAACGGATTTTCCTTCTACTGTGTACTTGTCTGATATAGAGTCGAAATGACTATAAGCTAAAGGAATCTTGAATCATCTTGGTGGGAAGAAATTCAAAGATATATATGAAAAACCCAAACTTCAGTTTATTTTTTCCCCCTTGTGATTTTCAGGTGCCAGATCCCCCGCAGGTAACTGTTGTGGCAAACCAAACCTCCTGTTGCAGTGTGGCTCATAATTTATTTCCAACCCAGTGGCAGCATCCAGAGTGTCCTCCGCTCATTCACTAACACTGTGTCTGCAGCCAGAGACTCAAACTGCTGGGTTGTGCTGCCGACACGCCCTCCTGCTGACGGGCAGAGCATTAATAATGATAAGCTTCAACAGGAAGTTTGTTTTGACCGGTGGAAACACTGCTGTTACACAACTGACGCAATGGACACGCCTGGGAGCCAGTGCAATGTAGAACCCAACAGACCATCGACTTCTCTCTTATATCACTACAGTGTCAGTTATTGTAATGTGGACATTTCTTTGGTATTTAAAGGTGGTAACAGATGTTAAGAGCCTATATTTATTAATACAGAGAAAGGACAGCATTGTCAACATTTTGTTCAAACAATATCCAAGAAGCCTTGACTCATCATAGCAGAGAATGTTGCAGCTGTTTCCTGCAAGCAATAATGAAATGTCTCCCTCTTGTGTTATTGAAATAGTGTTCCAAAGTGCTCCACGGGAAATGATTCCTTGGCTTTTTCAATCATATAAATAAGATTAGATTTAGGACAGAGGTTTGAGTCACATAATCCGCCTTTGGCTGATATGGACAGTCAAACCTCTTTTCAAAGAAAAATATGACCAGACATGAGTTTGATGATAATTCAGACCTAAAGAAGAATACCATTTATCAGATATTTTTAACATCTCAAGGCATGACCAAAGATATTTTTGTATAAATAACTAAATGTGATTTATGAAATTGTCAAAATTATGAAGTGTTCTCTGGGATCGATCCCTCTTTCTCTGTTGTTATGAAGGGTTGGGATACACTGTTCATTATACATGTTCAATATTAATAGAGGGTCTAATCATTGCTGAATCCTTTCAAAATTTAAAAGACAGATTTGCCTAGTGAGTGGCTTTATCTCTGAATACTGTATCCAGGTCTGAGAGAAAAAAAGCTTTTCAGTTACACAGACACATCCGTTTGTCTGAAGCACACCAGGAAGTGGGTAAGCCCAGTAGGATTTTCAAGATCAATACCACATCAATACAATGAAGCAGTGTTCATTTGGTATTGATCCCAATTAAAGAGTATCAATTATTAGTTAGTTTTCATCATCTAATGTGGTTATAAAGTTTTCACAGACATAAAAACATTTCTGTGCTTTGGGCTAAAGCAGCGCTCATTTTTTGTCCGACCCAGTGACACAAATCTCCCATAAGCCCTCACCACAGGTGTGTTCTTCTGTCTTTTTAAAAAAAAAAAAACACTGCAGTGGAAGAAGTTTTGTAAAGTGGTGATTTTTGTTTTTTGTCTGTTTGTTTTTCATGTGCTTCAAAAAAGAAAATCTATGAAAATGTAATAAGTGACTTTTCTATTGTGTTAGTATTTTTTTTTTTTTTCATTTGAATATTTATTTTATAATTAAATTGTTATGGTTGAAAGTTTGACTTTTGTGATTGATTTTTATATAGACGGCACATGTTTCAATATTAATCGTTTTTATTATATTTAAATAATTGCTGCCATTGCTGCACATTTTAATATATTAAAGCACAGACAAATACGATAAGCTAAACTAATGCATAGCCCAACTATAGACTTTAATATTAATAATAAGATACACATCAGCATTTAAGAGTCACCATTAGATTCTGATATCATATATAATTTTTTATATCTAAAAGGCTGCACACAATGGCCCAAAACAAGCACTAATTTCCTTTCAATCATGTAGAGAAAATCTTCCAAGCTGACCATTGGCCACCTCTTTGCAACAGGTATATGAGCCCCCTTTTATAACTCCAAGGGGGGTCTTTGTGAACATTTTCAGGTACTAGAAATTGTAGAACACGGCCTTGATAGCAGCAGTAAATAAATCAAATCAGATTAAAGGGACATGATCTAAAAAAAAAAACGAAAAGATTCGTGATAATAGTTGACTGTAGGTGTCATATATCACCACCAGATGGCAGTAAATGAACATTCAGGTTGCAGTCAAACATTCGGGAAGAAGAAAAATAAGAGGAGGAGCAAAACAGACTGGAACCAGACTGCAGTACAAAATAACTATTATACCTAACCTTGTCGGATGGCACCATAAACGGATATTTTTTTCAAGCAAACGACGTTTTAAAAGGTATGAAAAAGTAAAACCATTACCTAAATAGCTGATGAAAAGCAAATATCCACATAGTGAACTGAATGAGTGGACAAGCTGAAGCGACGACAGCTAACAGTTAGCGTCACCGAGCTAACTGAGCTAACACCTCACGGGAGGTAAACAAAAACCTTAACACAACATCTAGTGTTCCCTTCTACTTATTAATATCATTTTACATGTTGCGGCGTCTTTTCCTTACCAGTGTATGCCAATACCAGTAAGTTATCTGCCACGAAAGAAAGTGTTGTCAAAGTTGCTTTTGTAAACAACACAGTAATAAAATCAGCTGCTGATTTCTATGATGTATAAATAATGGAAAGTTCCGGCTCAGCATCCCTCACACTGACAGTACAACTCGTCTGACAGGCTAATAAAACACCAACATGGATTTAGAAAAATATAAATATATATTTAATAATGTAATCTAATGTTTCTTTAAACTCAAGTTTATCCTATTTGAGAGTTTTTTTTTTTTTTTTAATGAGGTCATCTAGATGCTAGAAACACATTTCATTGTAATGACAAATGTTACACTTGCACAATGACAGGCTTAAAACGCACTTTACACTCCAGTCGGTATAAAAAAACATTTTAAAGTTCTGGTTTTAAATAGAACGGTGTTTATATTTGTAGAGGTATTGTTTAGGCATCAGAATCTAGTGTTCCTGGTTTGTGAGCCTTTATTAGGTAGAGTAGACTGTCCGAGGAGATGGTACTGACCTACTACCCAGTCAGTACTAAGTTACCTGTTAATTTATGTAAGCATGGACTAAATATTGATTTAGGGCAATGATCTCCATAACTGAGTTGAACAATTCCCTCCAATGAAGACACTGAAATGAAACAAGTTGACGAAACAAACTAAATTGCAACTCTATGCTTACAAGTAGTGTTTTTTGAAATTGTACTCTTTTCTCACGTCTAACCAACCTTTATTCTAATTTTTGCCTTTTACAAACCCTGAATACAAGGCAAATGAAAATTTAAGTTTTTCCACAGTTAAGCTTTTAACTCTAAAATGAAATCCCTTTTCCAGAGCCGACAAACATGAGCAGTTTCAGCAGGCATAACCGACATAGGACACCCCAGTTCTCCAGGACAACACACCTTGGCTCATCCAAGCCTGACCAGGAGAGAGATTCAGGCTTCTCAGGTTCGATTTAATTATGTTGCTTTATAGTTATATAGTTTTATAGTTACATTTAAGTTTTGTGTTTGCCCAATGTTTCTTAAATTGTACATATTAAGAATGTCCATGATTACAGAGAACTACTTTTGGAGCCATGGATTGATATAATTGTTATAATTATTATATCATTTATTCGGATTGTGTTGAGTGGGGGGATGTCGGGTCACATGGGTATGGGCAGAGTTGTATTGATTTAACTCACCTGTTCACTTTTTGTTCTCAGTGGAAGAGAGGGGGTGAGCTGGGTTGCTGTATTTTTTGTTGACCGCTATTGTTTCTGGCTCACTGTGATTATGAGTTAATGCACGTTATTACAAGTTAAGTTGATTATCTTTTTTACGTTAATAAAAAAAGTCAAACTTATTTTTACGTATCACAGTATTCTTTTGAAAGCGCGTCGGACAAATACATCAGGCCCAACCTCAGCCTCTCAGCGGCTTCATATTCAGGAACGCCGCTACACTTATCAATCTAGAGATCTAGGTCACACTTTTCTGTAAGCTATCTTCCATTTGGTCTGTATTTGTGATGACTCATATACTCTATAAGCGCTGACCTACCTCGATTTGTTTTTCGCCGTCTTTATCAGGTTAATGGTATCCTTTTCAAAGCCCTCTGGAGAAGCTTACCTGTGTCTGCCACTGTTTCCATAGTGCTAATGATCTCCCTCAGAAACACTAGAAAGGGTAAACATGTTGCTTTTAAACATGATGAGATCCATTTGTTTTCTCTTTCCCCTTCTCAGATGCCAGCTCGGAGTACCTCAGTACAGTCGATCTGACTGACTCTGAGGACGCAGGCATAAATGGGTCAACAACCGGCCAGGACCCGAATGGGCCTCAGGTGACTGTGATGGGAGGCTCATACGCTGGACTATCTCCAATGATCATCATGAACAATTTTGTCTTAAAGCAGGTAAAATACAAGCTTTGGTGTCTGCCTCTGTCAGGCACTGTTTGATTATTTCTTTTGGAGGGTTGTAATAGTCTCATAACCTTTGGTCTTTTTCTGCCATCTCTTCCTGCCTCTTACATGTTTCACCCTGTCAGTTGATAAAGTATGAAGTCGGCAATATTTTTTTTTTTCTGAGTGCAAATGTAATTTAAGAAATAGTTACATTTCCCTTGTAGTTTTACTGTTATTATAATAGTTGTATACTGATTCTTGATTCCTGTACTGTATTATAAATGTATAATATGATGGTATTCATGTCTTTTTATTTGTCTGTTTTTAGCCTTCTGCCATGACTCACACAGAAAAACAGTGGGGCTTTCCCTCTCCCATGGAAGTGGTGCCTCAGTCACAGGTTGTTCTTTTGCAGCCTATGGTACCAAACGGCAGCAGCAGCTCTTCGAAGACTGGTCCTGAAAAAATAAAACAATCCAAACGCCACATGCCAATCCTCAAGTCATATCCCAGAATTGCCCCACAACCTGCAGACACACCAACTAAGAGGGTGGGATCCTCCAGGATGAGGGTGGGTTCAACATATGAGCAGAGACAGAGGAGGCATCATCGTGGCCACAGGCTCTGCTCCTCTCCCAGCCCGCAGTCAGCACTGCAGAGTACAATCAAACCCATCTCAGTCTTTAAAGCTGCAGACAACCAAGCACAGGCAGCGGAGAGTCAAAAGCAACTCACTGATATGTCTCTCTCAGTGTTGGCAGGGGCCAGCTCTCTGCCCCCCTACACGGATGATTTTAGGACTGAGATTGACACCAACATGTTGTACAACGACAAAGACCAGGACACCTTCTCCATGGACAATGAGAAACTGAAACGATTCAGCAATACCTACAACATCCTCAACGTATCTGGCCTACTGGGGATCACCATGCGCACAAAGCAGCTGATCAAGGATAATAAGCGCACTCAAGGCCAGCTGCAACAGCTTCAGGAGCAAACGGCTCTGCTTCTGGAGGCACTGAGCAGCGGAGACCCACAGCTCTGGACTAAACTGCAGCTGTCTTTGCAGCACACAGACAAGGAGCAATGGGCAGCTAAAGCTCAGAGAGTCCTGGTATAAATGAATGATGGACACAACCATCAGTTAAATCAAAGGGTCACCAGATGATTTGTTGAGGTTGAAAACATATATATCAAATATTTACAATAACAGTGTTCTTCGCATAAAATGACAGCATTTAGCATTACAACTAAAACTATAACTAAATCTATAACGATCATCTGAATCAGCTCAATTTCAAGGTTTATGAAGATATTTGAAGCTGAAGCACTCCTACAGTACTTTTACCAAGTGGAGGTTTAAAAGCATGCTGACTCTTTGAACCCTTGCCTATAGTATATTTCTTGCCTTTCCTGCTTCAAAATGGTAAGAATCACTTGCAATAGGGCTATGGCTTCTATAACCTGAACTTCTGATAGCATAAAATGCATGCCTTACAGCTCATGTGAGGACACATACATGCCTTGAATGTGATTACTGTAGAGATAAAGATTTAGAGTTTTAAATCAAACAGAAAACCGGAGTGAACACACGTGCCCTGCTTTTCAATATCCTCCAAATCATTATTTATCAACTGGGCGCTGTCTTGTTCAGTTTAACTCGTTTACTTTGTTTTGAACTCTCAGTAAACTAAACTGCATGAGCCGAAGTCTTATTTTAATGAAAGAGTATCCTGACAGCCTGTATTCTCAAAGAATAGCTGTTTAGCTCAAAGCACCATTTTAGATGGACTGAAAAATGTTAACATTGTTTTTATATAATTTTGTTACGTGGTCTAAGTATCATTTATGTGTTATCATGTTTCTGACCCAGACTAAAGCCATGTCATTGATGGAAACTAAGCACATGCAGAGGAAATGTTTGCAAAGCAAGCTCCTTTTGTAAAAAGATGGTGTCAAGAACTGAAAGCTTAAACTGTAGCAAGTGAAGTTATGTAGCCATATACTTCACTAATGTCTGCACTTACTTTGTTTCTGCCATGTTCATTTCAGCTAAAGGTAAATGTTATTAAGTCTAGACTTTAAATGACAGCTAAAACATTTATTTTAGCTTCAAATCACAGACTTGCACTAAGTTATACGATTACTGACAACATTTTAGACAGATGTTATGACTCGTGTCCTTAAATGAGCATTCTGTTTCGAAACATGTGAATATAAATGCTAATCTAGGTTCCTGTGCCTTTCTGAACATGTCAATGTTTGTACTTCATTTCAATATTGAGCAGCTTAGATTGTGAGTTTCATGTGAAGGGAAGTTGAATGTCCTACATTTCATCCAAAGACTTTGTGTTCTTGTCTGAATCAGTACAGATCCCAGCTAGGATCTGCTTCTTTAGAGAATAGCTTGAATACAAGTTCAGCCGTTATTGGGTCAATTTTAGTCTTAAATCTAGGTCAACAGTTGGAATATTTATCTTGCAACATTTTCTATAACATGAGTAACAACAACATTAAGACATATTTAAATCAGCCTTTATTTAAAAGGGCAAAAGAGGGTTACAAAACTTTATTAAGATTTCTTTTTGGAGATTGCTTTTCCTGTTGATGTGAAATGTACTTGTCTTGTTTCCTTAGCAACAGTCACTTTGACTAATGATGAACTCATAAAATGTTAAACATCATTACCTCTCAGTCTCTAATTCTGTGTGGTTTTATTTTTTTCAAAACAAAGAATGGCTTCATGCTGTGATTAAAATGCTTTTATTGGTTTTACAGGAATAGACAAAATAGCTCTTTAACATATATTTACTGAAATCCAAAACATCTTTCACAGGAGGTTGAACATTTCAGTGGTTTCCTAAAAGTCCTTACTTTTAGGGTGCACTCACACTAGGTCCATTTGCCCCATACCGTGCTGAAGCCCGATTGTCCCCCCTCCCCCAGTCCCCTGCTGGCCTGGACTCACACCGCTCCAGGCCAAACTGGGCCTGAGCACAGTTACCTCTGTACATACCTCATCACCATACTGAAGTGCACTCTGGGACTTTTTTTTCAATAGAATCATCATTAAATTGATGTCACACAATAGAGAATGTATAAACAAACACAATTCTCCGATATCGTTTGGGTACGGATGGTCTCTAGTGTGAGTGCACCCTTAAAAGGTGCCGTTTCATTAGCAATGTAGCAATACCCCTTTCTTTTGGGGTATTCTGTAAGCATGTAAGACATGAGTTCATGGCACATAGTGAATAATACCCTGGATAATAATATGGTAATCACAATCACATACCCATCCCACTCTTACAAAGGAGCATGTTACTGTATCTGAGTCACACTGTGTATGAGTCACATTCATTTGAGTAGAAAAAACATCAGGCTCAACATTTCACAGGTTATTGTTATTGGCAGTTTATGCTTCAGCTCCTGTAGTTTCCTGGTCTGCTAGCCCTTAACAATGAAGTCAATTATTGTTGCAGAAACTACCGGAAGTGTCCTGTCCGTGCATTAAAGTGTCCTACAAGAAAGTTCAGCAAAACAAGACACTTGAACGTTAATCTCAGAGCACTGCATGATGTAATATAAAAATGCAAAGCTTTGAATGCATGCACTTGTGCAAAAAGGGCATTTGTTGTATTTTGATGCAAGCGAGTAGTAGTGCATGGAGAAACTGCTGGATGTCCCAAATGACCAACTCACATGTCCTAATATTGCCTTGCCAAAAGCTACTTACTTAAAGAAGTCACTTATACTATGCACTTATCCAAAAGTTCACACTAAGATATGGCTCCTGTCCTTAAAGGAATGTGTGCTAACAGCTAAGTATTTCATGTTCTACTTTAAAGGTTACAAAGCATCCATTTAGAATTTAAAATCAATCACCACATGGATCCCAAGAGAGCACTTATTACAAGTCATGCTTCTTGTGTGACCTATTAAGAAGACGCATTGTTATCACTCAGTCTTGTTTCAGCGCGTCTGTGTCTTCAGCGCCCGTCTCCACCGTCTGCAGAGGCAGGACCAGGCCAAGGATCCAGCGGGTGCCGAAAACATCCTTGAGGTTGCTTCTCCAGGGGCTGCGATTCTCCACGAGTTGCCCCCTCTGCATCTGGCACCAGGTCTGCCCCCGGGCCACCAGCAGCACCTGCTGGCAGCAGAAACCTGCACAGACCAGGCCGATACCGAGCCACACATAGAGCATCAGAACCAGGAACAGCTGCAGGCCTGAGATAGTTCCTGTGGAGAGACATTTAAGGGAAAATTGACACGAGGTAAATGTGTAACTTATAAGTTCCTGTTTGTTTCAGAGAGTGTTCTATGTTTTGGTGTGTTAATGACAAGATGTACAATCTTTTTTTTTTGATGTATTACTTATTTGTTTCATCCTGCAGGTGAAACACTGCTGTAAGAAGCTACAATGAAAACCTTTGAGACAATCACAGGCTAGTCCAGCTGCCTAGAGGTTTCTGTTGTTATTCTATTAACAATAGAATAACCTCTAACCTCTAATCTCTGGGACAATAAAGCTAAAGCCATTTACTTATATGAACCAGTCTGCTTATAGAAAGAGTAAAGTTATCACTCACTTCCAGTCATAATGGCTTGTTCTTATATAATAAGCATTACAATTGCCATACAGAAAAATAAATTATATACATACACATAAGATACTGTGATGGAAATTTTAACCTGACAACACAAGCTTGTTTGTATAAAGTACAGTTGTATTCAGGAGCATGTAGAAGATCACACAGTCGCTACTTTTTTAATCATTCTCTTCCTGTAACAAGTCCCCTTATGGCCAAACTTAAAAGCTAGAATTTCACCTGGGTGAGATTGAACTCTTAGTCAAATAGTGAAATGATTCCTTTAGTGGTTCTGAAAGACACCAAGAAAAACAAACAGAGCCTGTACATGTCAAAACAAAACACCGATACGGGACAGAACTTGCTGCTCTGTAATTGCCCCCAAAGTAATTACATTGTAGCCTGCTGAAACAATCTACCTGAGCAATTTCAAAACAGTTAGGGTGGATACAAATATGTCTCAGGTTAAAAAATACAGGAATTCCAATTGAAGTGAGGAGTTTCTTTTTAAATATCCTGACACAACTCACCCATGAAGAAGTAACCAGTGGAGAGGGGGAGGAGAGTGAGGAAGGTGAGTGGGTTCTCGAAGGAGATTTCGTACTCCACTGTGAGGAAAGCCACACCGAGGACCAAGCAGTACATACATATACATGATGTGTAGATGCAGAACATGAGGAAGTAGCGCATGTTTTTGTTGCCAATGCAGTTCCCCGTAAAAAAGCAGTGATGGTCCCTCTTCAGAATCACTTTCTTACACAGTTTGCAGAAGTGTCGATTGTTCAGGAGGTAGTGAGCGTCCACTTTGTCCGAGCAGTGCGGTGAACACACCGGCACCCCAGTCTCATTGGCGCTTTCGGCGGATATTTAATAGTCATTATGTAGTTTCCCAGAGCGTTGAACATCAAGAAAAGGAAAACAATTGTGTGAAGAGTTGTGGAGCTCTTCAGAGATGTGTCTGAGTTTGGGAAGATGGTTGGGATGAAGAAGCAGAAGTGTAAGATGAAAGTGACTGCTGTAGCGATGAAGAAGTACGCTGGGGCTACAGCATTGAGAAGTCTCAGTTTTAACATCCGGGTAAACATGTCTGTGAGAGAGGGAAGACACAGGGGGAAAAAGCTAAGAGTAGTAATATGTTGACAAAGTTCCAGCACAGCAATGAAAACAGCTTCAAGCTAACCGTGTTTATAAATGATGAGTAACATGACGTTCAGACTCCTAGTTTTCAATATTTATTATTTGCAATGTAAGACATTTTTAAAAGCATCCTCGACAGTAACTTTGTAATCTAGCTGCCTGTGTTCTTGATGAAATAAAATATTTAAACAGACATCCCGTGAACTGTATATCATCATGAATGTTAGTGTGGCAGTGGTGAGGTCAGAGGTCAGCTCCAACCCTTAAAAATCACCTGTGTGTCCCTGCATGGGGTTTAATACCATCAGGCAAAATTGAAGAACTACCCAATATTTCATCATCATAATGTATCAGAACATATACTTTATCATTTTTTCTTATTATGACTGTTGCAGATTACCTAAACAGTTAGACTAGAAGCATTTGAGCAAACACACCTCCAATGACACGTGTGGTTTGAGTCTATTTACATAAAGCATCAAGGTGAAACTTACACATCCTCTGTTAAGCAAACGTATTTTATAAATATCGTTTGATCTCATTAAATAAAGAGGATTTAAGTCTGCTGCTGAGAAAAACTAATTTCTCTACCAAGTAGGGTCTGGGGACTCAGAAGGGCCACTGAGAATACCGAGAATATCTCAGCCTCTTCTCTGTGATCTCCTAACCTACAGCACGAGCAGATGTGAAATGACAGAGTGACATCACAACATGATGGAAGGCAATAAGCAGCTCCTACAGACGAAAACTGGGTCAATTTGATTTCTACACGAGGGGCTCCCAGCATTAAAAAAAAAAAAAAACCCTGGGCAGCTCTTCTATATGACAACGAAAGCCCAAGATGACAGACAGAAGCTCAATCAAGGACTCTCGCAGCTTCCTCTCCTCCGTGATGTCTCTAATGTTGGCGACAATCATTTACATGCTGACGCATTTAGGGGGGAAAAGATCATCGTACAGCAGCATCTTAATCTTGTCCTACCTGCAGATTTCAGAGGTTGGAGCAGCTGTCTCTTCAGCACCACGGAGCCTTGGCTCGGAGCTCAGCACGTTCATTCACACGCTCTCAAGGTGTTTCAGTCAGAGCCACATCCACCGTCTCTGCTCATTACCGAGGCTCACTACTGCCCCGAATACCGCCACCTGCTGGTCTGGATGCGGCCGCTTTTAATAATGACAATAATGATGACAATAATAATCACAAAGATAATATTATTATTAATAAAAATAATAAGAAGTAGCTTAGTATTGGCATTGAAAGTATCAAATCAATGTACTTAGTGCACTCAGTGCTTCTTTGAAAGTGTCTAATATCTTACTGAATAATATATCAGCACAAATTAACCTTAAAGGGTGCACATACTCATTTTAAATGTGCACTACCTCCATACAAACACTTCTGAACCTTGACATATAAATGCTGCTGTGCAGCTTAATAACATATGTCTCCTGTAATTTGTACAGGTCTCATTCTAATCTGTGATTTAATTTGTTTGTATGTTCGTATTCTTGTTCCTGCATTGGTTTAATAAAACATTCAATAGATCAATCAAGTTACAGTGGCCATGAAAAACGTCCTTTAAAATGAAGAAACCTCAAGCCAAACGAGACTCATGATGAACAGCCATCTGCAGAACTATCTTTTCTTGATATATATCACCTTTTATCTCTCTCTCTCTCTCTCTCTCTCTCTCTCTCTCTCTCTCTCTCTCTCTCTCGCCCCTCTTGCCCTCTCTTTTTGTATAAGGTAGTTATTGAGTTATACCAGTGTTTCTGGTGTTGAATGTTTAACTTTATCTTTGTATCATTTTAGATATTTTTTTGTTTTGTTTCAGTTTGTCTGATTGCACTTGGAAATGTTTTACATTTTATCTGGATAATACCATAAGGGATGGGCAGTGCTGAGGCCAGACACGAAAATAAGGATTCATTCATTCATTCATTCATTCTTTCATGTAGGCCTATGGTTTAATTTGATCTCTGAAGTGGTTTCATTTACATTTTTGTGTGGGTTAATATATACATACGGGAGGGGGGACCGGGGGTGTTGTTAAATGAAAGAACATATTTCATATTCATGTGAGTGTTTCTATCTATCTATTTATCTCTATCTATCTATCAGTCTTAACATTCTCTAAACTGTAAATATAGTTGTCATAACAGTGTCATGGTACATCAGTCTTTCTTTCAGTTTATTGGCACTGCCCTTAAGATGAAAAAGGTTTGTGATTGTACTCGTACTGGTCAAAATGTGTCAGCCTATGTTCATCTTATTTTTTAACCATGTCAGTCAGCCCTGGAAACATTTCTGATGTAAAAATCTCAAAAAATTTTCGGCATTTATTGTTGACACTGACTTCTCGCTGTAATACAATTAATTTTTGACTCCCTGAATACAGCTTTATTCTGTATCATACTGAGCTTTTACAGTAAGATCCAGATTTTAACATTATTCCATACCATCAATACAGCTTTACAAATAAAGATAAGTACATCTGTTTTGCAAAATGCTTGAATCATTTGAGAATTGAGCCAAAGTGAATGAGAAAAAACTGTACTTTTAGTTTTAATATTAGTTGTCAAATGAATATATGGAGAACAAAACGTATAGTCTCTGAATTGCAGTTCAGTTTTCATATAAAATTCTAGTCTAAAGACACTATATGAAAAAAATAAATTAGCTGGGTCTGTAGAAGTTGGAACATTGCAGGACAGACAGTATTCCAGTAGGGGGCAATACAACCTTAAATATTTTACCTCTAAGTCAAAGTGTTTAAATCATGGTGGTATTCTTTATGTTTTGCAGTGTTTCAGCAGTGTGTTGACCAAATAAACTAAACACTTTGTTTAGCTTGTTATGTTTCCTCACCACCTGAATGGTTGCTTTAAGTTTAAAAAAATCTAAATATGGTTTAATCTACTAAATCTGTCATTTAACTTGAAAAGCTGATCAGAAACGTATAAACACTCGGTACAATGATTCATTACTATGCCAGTATGCTGAATTTACTACTGGAAAAAAATGGGAGCTGAAACACTAGGCTATTTGACGCTCCCTAAGCAGCCTTCAGGTGTTGAATTGTCAGACGGCCCCTGAGTAGGTGGGAGTTTCTCTTGATTCTTAGTGCTGGGGGGGGGGAGGAAAAAAAACAGCAGCATCCTCATCAGCAGCAGACGCCAGCGACCAGGAAGCGCCCAAAGGTGAGCGATGTAAATTTTAAAATAGCCTTTCGGTGATCTAAAAGCGGGCTGGGGAGCTTTATTGCGCTATTTATGGCGCAGTCGTTTCCATCAAGTTACTGAGCATGAGGAGAGGGTGGGTGTGCAGACTGTTGTGAGTGCTGCAGTGAGCGGAGGAACAAGGAGTCGCCAAAAAAACGGGTCTGGTTAAAAAGCGAATTTCCTTTTTTTTACTTTCAACTATAAAAAGATTAAAAGTTGTATTCGAAACGAAGGTTTAAAAGCTCCTTTCACTGTGGGAAAGTCTTGTTTTTGGTTGGTTAGCATGCGGAGGTTTCTGGCAGCGTGTCACTATTACACCCAAAACAGAAGAGACATTCCTGCTCCTCACTACAACACCCATTGTTCCTCGTGGAAAGAACAGGGTGGCAGACCTGTAATGAGCACCTTCGCCTCTAATTTAGGGTTCCCACTGGAATAATACTCTAAAATGTGTAAATGTGGTATTTCGGGGATTCCTGTCAATGCTGTGAAAATGCTTTCCTCTCTGTTTTAGTCTGTTGTTGTTGTTAAATCTGATGGATCTATACAGACAGAAGCTGACATTTGTCTAATGAGTTATTGGTGTGACCTGTTGAATTCACGCTCATCCTGCTGCATAGTCGCTAGGACATTTGTCTCGTCTTTATTAATGGAGATAGACGCGAGTATACTAAGTTTGTTTTCAATTCAAGTCTTGCATTTTCATTTCACGTTATCACAATATTTGGTGTTATGAACCCTCTTAGTTGTGGTCCTGTACGTTTTAAACTCATGTTAGGCAGACTGCATTGTAGTATATTGACTCTCTCCTCCCGACATCTGCACCTGTATAATGGAGGGAAGTGGCCTTTAACATGACAGATTTATAAAAGGGATTCTGGCATTTCAGTGGGTCACTGGAGCAGAGCATTTCAATACGTCATGCCACTGTTTTGAGTTTCAAAAAGAGGAATACATGTGGTGAAAAGGTCTAATTATCATAGGAAAGTAATATTTTGGGTGCTTAAATGGATTTGAACGAGGACACAGAGTCCTCTTCTAGTAATATTATGTAAGCCGAGGTCCAGATGATATTAACGACAGGAGTGTTGTTCATTCATCAGAGTGGAGCTTTTTCATTTTTGGACAGTCTCATTTATGGCTTTTCCATAATTAGAGATGTAAAACAAAAGAGGCAAAGCATTTCAGTTCAAGTCCTGAATCTCTGTAAAGGTTTCATGTCTTTAAACTCTCACTTTAAAGTCTGCTGTCGGTTTGAAATGCACCGGCTGGAAGAAATCTAAAACTGAAAACATTAGAATCTGCTGGAGCGATATTGAAGATAATACACAAAGAGGTTGTATAATAAGTTAAATTGTGACCTTTTACATCCCTGACTATGTAATATATTACAGGTACCTTGTATGAAATGTGGCTTAGGTGTAGAGAGAAGAACTCTTGCACAAAATAAAATGTATTTATCATACTGAATAGAACTATGTTGGTCTCAGGTGTTTTGATTGGCTTGTCTTCTCTGAAGCTATATACTGTTTATACACGTTTTTTTTCACACTTCAGTGACTTATCAGTTTTGGTGACAGTCAAAATATTTTCACAAAACTATCACTTGATATGACACTGTGTAAATGAGAGTTAAATCTTCCAAGAAAACTGAGCAAATCAAGGCAGGTCCTCTTTGGGAAACACAGATATTAATATTTTAAGAGATTCTACGCTGTGATTGGAAAAAAAGGCTTGCTGTAGAGCCATGGATCTCATGTTCTTGCACAGCATCGACCAGCTGCTGAACACGAGGACTACAGAGTGTGACATGCAAACGTAAACCTACCTCCATGGATCTACTTTATGTGGAGAGTTTGTTTCAGCACCGCGGGCAGCTGGACAGCTCCTGAATGATCAAACATCCAGTAGGCGAGAGGCACAGAGCCTTTGATGTTTCATTCTAATGGTGCAAAGCATTTGAAATCACATAATCTGCTCCACTTCACATCAAACGAGTCAAACAATAAACACTGTGCAGATGAAAACTGTCCATTGGTCGAAGGTATAAGCTCCAGGAAAGTCAAGTCTTCTGACCAGTAGGTAGTTTCAGTGTGTCCTCAGTCTTGAGCTTAATTTAGTGGCTTAAATGTAAACATTTTTAATCCATTTTTTTGTAATAGAATCGAATATTCTCTTAAAGAGCTCATGAAAATGAACATGAACAATAAACACTCACAAAAAAGCTGAAAATGAATATTGATGCCTCTGTATAACATACAAAACCTAGTTGGTGTCAAAGTGGGTGACACTGTGCTGCTGAAACAGCCCATGTTTACATTTTCTAAGATTGACAGTGACTGATACATTAAACTGTTAGAAGAAAGTGGGATGAGGTTTTTCATCGGAAAAAAAATATGCACACATTAACAGGACAAGATTAACAACAAGAAGTTTCCGCTTTGTTCTGAGGGAGTGCCAAAATCAATGCAGACTGAAAGTTCCTCACAGAAGCTTTACAGTGAAAAACCATCGAAAGTAATTAAGCTGTAAAATCTGTTTTCATGTCTCATACACTGAATTTAAACATGTTTTTATTGTGTAATGGTTTATATTGTCATTTAAGCTAATACTGCAGATATACAGTAGTGCTGTGTTGCTGTACTGAATGTGATTTCATTCTACACTTGATCTCAGATTTAAAGTCTGAGAGGATCAACCCATGCTGTTAACACATCGCCCTCACTTCTGTGTCACACATATAGAAATCTTCCCCCTCTATAGTAGAAGGTGAGGTTGGTGTTGATGACGTTGAGTTGTGCGTTGCAGGTGTGTGTGTGTGTGTGTGTGTGTGTTAGAGTGTAAAATTTATCCGAGATCGCATCATACGCAAGTTGTATTTCTGTGAGTCATCTCCCTTGACACATCTCACGTCAAGAGCTGCAGGATGTGAATAGAAATGTCAGAAAACACTTTGGTGAAACCCCCTTCCCCTCCCCTGGCAGAAAAATCGAACACAAACAGGATATCTGAACAAAACAGTCACAGATGATATCATTGCTACCTGTGACACCTCCATTTTGTATTCCAGTGGCATATCTAAACACAGCAGTTATGTACCATAGGCCGGGCTTTGTTCTTTTCACGTCTTGGATGGGGAAGAGGCTCCATGCTGTTTGAGATTCCTGCTGTGATCTTTCCTGCTTTTCCTTAGGGGTCCATCGCAGCGATGCAGACACAGGCAGCATTGTCACTGATGTAAACAGATCCTGTCCTCCTGCAACTAAAATGCAGCTTTAAGTTTACCAGACAACAAGGGAGCAGTGTTAGATATTCACAGCCACATACAGCTGTCAGACTTTCTTATCCTCTCACATTTCACACATTTTATATCCCCTGTTTTATATGCATGGGAGGCTAATAGTCTCATCTTATAAAGCAGAATTTATAGCAGTCATTTTTAAATGTCTGCCCATGGTGGTTTTGCATTTTTTCTTCATTAAGTGCAAATTAAATATTCCTCCTATAAGAGCTCGAACAATCATAAAATGATCTATTATTCTGATGTAAGGATACAAATGTACAACTCTTAAGGAAATTAATCTAATCTTTTTTGAAAGCAAATTAAATATAACTTGGTTTTGCATGATTTGTGATGGCTACTGTTGACTGACATTTTTTTTACTACTGGTTGATTACTACTTCTTTTTGGCATTGCTGTTTGATGCTGTTCAGTTCCTTAAATCTCAGATCCTCAAACTACCAATAATACTGTTCTGTTAAAACTGCTGAGTCATTACCACAGCATATAAACAACTCCAGAGCATACTTGAAGTTCAGACTTCATCATTTACAAATGATTGGAAAACACTAGTTTCATCACAGGTAGAAAATCAGTCGTAAAACTCATACTATGACTTCTAGATGCAGGAAAGCCTTTGAGTTTGTTTCAGGGTTTAACAGAACTATACCTTCACAATAGAGTCACTAAAAAAAATAGTTTTTGAGTCCTGCATGCATCCTTATCCAAAGGGCAGCAAACTAATTGAATTGAAGTGCCCCTTTAATTTTTAGTTGATGTATTTTCAAAAATATGATTATATTTTTAGTCCAATTTAAATAAAGAGTTTAGTAAGAAATCCAGTGAAGGTGCAGTTTATTAGAAAGCAACACTAAAAAACAAATGTTTACAGTCCGACTAGTTTTAGAACGAGAACACATTCACTTGGCAAAAACATACACAACTGCTGATAACAGCTCCTACTGTCCTTTAGTTTTGTTGAACGCCCATGATACATTATGTCAGTACACAGAGATGTGTTATATTTGGATTGATAGTCATTTTTATTTTCTAGAGATGTGTTCAGACGGTGGATATTTCTCTAAAGGAATCTTGCTTGGCAGTGTTTGCACTTTTTTTATAGATGCGGGGGCAGGAGTAATTTTGACTCAGGTTTTCTCACAGGACCATTATAAAGATCAGCTTCAGCAGTGTAAGAACCTGTAGGTGGAATCTTCCAGAAGCTCTGAGTTATGCAGAGAAATCCCAGATTAGGCTTGTTTGTAAATCAGTGTCATGCAGCACACATGTTACACTGAAGCCATCACCGATGACAGGTGGTCTAATGAGGAAGGCCCAGCAATGAAGGCCCACCAGTGTGGCCCAGCAGACACACAGCTCCTCCCTGGGGGCCTACTGAGCATGTGCAGCCAGACAGGAAGCAGGTAAGGTTTGCTGAACCACAGCCTGTACTGAATTGTGCATTCACAACTGCATGTATGCTAAGGCCCATTCAGCTTTCAGAAAGAGGCAGCAGTGACTATGTGCCCTGAGCAGACACACCTCACTGAACTGTGTTTTTGCATGTGATAGAGAGAGAGCCATAGAGAGAGAGTGAGGTACAGAAAGAGGCAAGCACCCTCCCTTTTTTACTGAACAGGTGGTGAGCAGATTGTGTTAACCCCCCCACTCTCGGTCTAATGAGGGTTGCCCATCATCC